CTCAGTCGTTTCAACCGTCTGAATCTCTACACTAACAACCAATAGAAAAACAGTTCGAAGTGAATGAGTCAGACGCTTGAAACGACTTTTTATTACACATGATACGACTGAATTTTTGACAGTGTATATAGCATGCTGGTAGCTGTATAAGCCTTAAGTAAAATATCATATGGGATATATTTACCATTAAATATGCGCTATCGAGAAAAAGACACTGCACAAAATTCGCAGCAAAGTTATAATAAAATGTTTGAGTTTTAATTCTGACAATGTCATATTTTTCCTCGTTTCGAACGACAGACTTCGTGTGACAGTTGGAGATTTATCGGCATTTTTGCTTAATGTTCTTTCTGCTGAATGATACGTTTTTATCGTTCGAGCAATTGTTTGTGAAAATAAAGAAGTAGATATTTTTTTTATTTAGTTTAACAGATGTGCACTTCGAATGATACTATACTATATACAATTGTTTGTAGGTATTTTATACTTAAATTTTTATTGAAAGATTTTTACAATTTCTTAAGACGTTTTGCGCTGAAAAAGTCCTATGTGACTCCATTTGCTAGTGAATTTACTGAGATTCTCGTAGAATTAGATAACTTTCTTTTATGTGAGCTCTGATGAATCTGACGTTCTTGGACGGAAAATCTATAGCTAGAATATATTCAAGTCTGACTTTAAATCGAAAAAGCCGTTGTAAAAAAGCTTACATACATATATAGAGCCATAAGAAAACATGATATCATATTTTTTCTGTAGCTTTTTATTTTTTACATTGTGCATAAATCATGACAAACGCGCTATAGTGATTAAAAACCAGAGGGTCGTATCACGATAAAACTTAAGTCCGGGGACTTAAACCGTATCACGAAAAAGACTTAAGTTGGCGATTTGTTTACTTTTTAAAAGGCGTTGACAACAGTGGCAAAATTCGGATAAAAATCTGCAAAATAACGAAATATTTATTCTCTAATCCTTAGAATGTCGTTTTCGTCTAATCGTATCGTTAAATGCCTGATCTATTCAAAAAATGCGTCAGTGACTTAAGTCCGACTTAACTTTTCGGTCTTAACTTTAAGACTACATTTCCCATGACTTAAGTCACCCTTTGACTTAAGTTTTTTTGTAATACGACCCCAGACACTTTGTCTTCACGACTTATGATGCAGCATCATTGATGCTAGTGGCAAAAGTGTTTGACTCTGTGCGCCAATCAAATTCGTATTAATCGTTGAACTCAAGGTGCTAAAACGACCAGTCTGTGAAGTCCCTTTTCCGTTTGTAGTTTTTTTAAGAACAAAAATAAAGTCAAATTTTGTTGTATCTATAAAAAATTAAACCAGTTTCGTCAAGTTTTAACGTAAATTATGAAGAACTCGGATAATTATGTATCTATAAGTACAGAAACAAACATTTAAAGTTTTTATTCTTTGATTATTCATTTATATATTCTCACTTTATCCAACTTTTCGTTTTTCTCTTTTATGTACAAGAATTTTGTGTTGGATAAGTACTAAAACGTCTATATGATACCAACTTCTACAAACAGTGGTAATCTGGTACGTTCTTAACTTGTAACCTGAGCTAAAATTTCGAAATGAACTTAAAGTGTTATACTTTTTTGTATAGGGCTTGAATCCGATTGTTTCAACTCTTGTTAACGGCCCATCCAAGTACGTCGTTTTGTTTCTAGAAATTCTGTTTTTTTTTAAAAGTACGTCTCGTTTAGTCGTCCATCATCTCAAGCCGCCGCTGCTGCAATAGTTTCCAGTCTTCAAAACGCTCCTTCACCTGTCAATCTTCTTCCAAACGCAACGGTATATCAGACAGGAAATCAGCCATCTTCGATATCATCAGTAAGTACAAAATTAACTGATACGGTTGAACGAAAGTTATGTTTTGGTTTTTGTATGTACAGCGCTTGAAAGTGGAGGATGCACTCAATTATCTGGACAAGGTGAAGAATCAGTTTGCACTGCAACCACAAGTCTATAATCAATTTTTGGATATTATGAAAGAGTTTAAATCACAATCAATTGATACCCAGGAAGTTATTAATCGTGTGTCAAGACTTTTTCATGGTCATCCAGATTTGATTGTTGGCTTTAATACATTTCTTCCGCCTGGTTACAAAATTGAAGTGTCTGACGATCATCCATCATTTATTCATGTTACACATCCGTCATCTCGTACAGAATCAATAACAATCGGCGGTAATGGTACAACAACTACAAACTATAGGTAGGCCATTTACAAGAGGTAAATAGACATAATGCTTACAGACCTAAGTTGACTAATTCATATTCAACTAGAAAAATTGGTCAGATTTTTCAGAAGATCGAAAATGATTGATCTTCGTGGCAGTCCATGTTCGAATCTCAGGATTTAGGTTTTTTCTGAAAATTTTCAGATCTCTTATTACTACAATTATCTTAAACTTCATTGTTGCGGCATATGTATTTTATCTCTTTTCTTCGAAAAATTCTATTCTAACTGTTCAAGGAAATGGAAAATTCTGAAAAATTTTCAGCTCATTTGCGAAAATAGTGGCAGGATATTCTAATTTATGGGCACACCTAAGAAACATTACTTCCATGCTGATACTTAGTCTCTATTTTTTTCGCAAACTTAACGTTTCTGTCCTTTGTATTTTAGTCTTTCTATAACGACACCGAATTCTGTAACATCTACATATCATTCAAATATAACAAATACGATTAATTTATCTTCGAGAACAATAACATCACCAATGAGACAAACAGCAAATCTTTTGCTTCAACATGATGAAGATGAAACAACATTATCGACACTTGATCCATCGTCAAGTTCAAATTCATTTGCTGCACTTGGCCAAGTAGCGTTACGACCACCAACACCGTGTGCTGTTGTCCCATCAATTACTAGTAGTAGTACTTCCCAAGCTGTAAATGCTCTAATTTCTGCCGCTACATCGTCACCGACCCTACCCACATTGAATCTCACCAAAGGACAAGAAAAATCGCAGCAACTTCCATCTCAACAATCGAGTGCACCAACGCCGACACCAAGTACAACGCCTATTCCTACAAGTGCATCGAATTCAAATTCTGGTCAACCCGTCGAATTCAATCATGCAATTAATTATGTTAATAAAATCAAAAATCGCTTCCATCAACAACCCGATATATATAAACACTTTCTAGAAATACTTCATACCTATCAAAAACAACAAAAAGATGCTAAAGAATATGCCGGTGGTAACACACTTGGCGCATTAACGTATTCGTCCTATGGTGGTAGTCCATCAAGTAGTCAAACACCATTATTATCTGAAACAGAAGTATATGCTAAAGTAGCTCAATTATTTACAAACCATGAAGATTTATTAGCAGAATTTAGTCAATTTTTGCCTGATGCAACACAACAACCAATGGTAAATTATATCTTTTCATCTTTTTTCAGTATAACATAGTTTAGTGATTGCAGTTACGATGAACAAAAGATATTAATGATCTAACTGAGACTCATTTAGGCTTTGTTCTAGCAGCAAAACAGCCCAAAAGCGACATTTATTGCAGTTTCTGGTATATATTATAGCACGCTATTTTTTTATCAGCCAATCATCTCGTTAACTTACTAGAATACTGTCAAAGCTACACTATAATTATAACTATTCTAATAAGTCATATTTACGTATGAATCGAAAATGCATTTTTTCTTCTTCTAGGAACGTACCAATTCAATATCTGATATCCTGTCATCTTCAGGTGCTACTCCTTCAACATTTACTCCTACACCAGTTTCTAACACACCGAAAATAATCACAAATAATCCAGTTTCATCTACCTCTATTTTGTCAACGGCAACGAGTACAGCAAATTTCTCGTTTTTGACTACTACATCAAATATTACTTCCTCAACGGCATCATCACTGTCAACGTCAACAAACTATTTAATTACTCCGTTAACATCTCTTGCTATTTTATCATCAGCTCCATCATTTAGTCTTCCTTCTTCTTCGTTATCAACACTCACCACCGTCATACCGCCAATAACTTCATCCACACAAGCCGAAACCGTTGTTCGACCTAAGACACCAACAACCACGATCGCTAACACCAGCTGTGTATCAACATCTGCCTCAACAACAGGCACAAGTACTAAGAGATTAACCACAGTTGTTCAACGGCAAACAGCTATTAACACTAATACAAACAAGTCCACACCAGGTAGTAAACGTCCAACATCAGCTAAAACATCAACCAATATTAAAAAGAAACGTTTATCATTGACAAATATTGGAATACACGGGAGTAATACGGTGGATTCAACAGGACAAGTAAAAAATATGCCGGCGATTGATGAAGTAGCTTTCTTTGATAAAGTAAGTGTATATGAGATATATATTGATGAAATAATTAACTCTCTGTTTCGTTAGGTACAAAAAACATTGCGTAGTCCACTTGTATTTGATAATTTTCTTCGTTGTATATTATTATTTACAAAACGAATAATCACAAGGGTTGAATTAATTGAACTAATTCATTCATATTTGGGGTAAGCATATTTTTTCTTTTGCATTATTTAAGCTTCCCTCAGGAATGGTGATTTTCGGTCAAAAAATCGGTTTTGAGATACGTACATGAAAAGATAGCCTGTAGTGTCTGTCTACTTTCAGGATCTGTATCGCTTTGGTTACAAAAGTGGTTTTTCGCTGATTTTGAGCAAGTTTTCTAGGAGCCTAGAATCGGGTCTTCAAATAATAGTTTTTCCTGGATAGTTATGCAATTAAAATTTTTCTAAACACACAGATTTGTGAAACAAACTTTTCTGGTCAAAATAAGACCTCGCACAACTCTGTATGACCTTGCATCAAAAAGTTACAGGCATTTTCCTAGAAGTTCTAAAATTGAGTATTCCATACAGCGTTTTCTCTATATAAGAGTTACATCTAAAGTATTCTCCAAGATTTTTTATAGCGGTTTGTCGTAGAGAGTTTATTCTTTTTTTGTTTTAAAGAGGAAAAGAAACTACATGGTCTGACCGGCGCCGATTTTTGAATTAGATCTTAGTTTTTTATCAAATTAAGAAGTTTTAGAAAATCCGGAAGAAGTTTTCGGGGTTTGGAGGTTGTTAGTTACCTGGAAAACCAATAAAGGCTTAACTGAAAAATCGGCGCCGGTCAGACCATGTAGTTAGGTGTCTAGTTTAAAGCAAAACAAACCCGAACTCTCCAGCTTGAAGTATATTAAAAATCTTGGAAAGTACTTCAGGGTCCTCTTTGGACCTTGATCTTGGGAAAACTCCTGAACGGTAAGACCTGGAGACAAAAAAATTTTTTATTCCCGTAACTCATTAAGCCACACATTTATTGAAAGTTTCGTCAAGATCGGATGTACGGTGTCGGAGATAATTTCTGAGGGAGGAGGCCCTTACTCCATAAAAACTTTGTTACTAGCACTAAATGTTGCATGGTAATCTGATACTGATATTTATCAGTGCTGTACTCTAATCAATACAAAATGAGGTAAAAGCACCTATAATAAAAATACTAATTACTGGCTAACTAAGTGTCAATTATATATATAACGACGCTGTTCGGCATCGATGCCAGAAAGTGCCAGTGCAACACACCACACCGTGCGCGCATGATAGTGCCGCACTGGAATTGTTTTTGCAGAGAAAACTTACGATTTTCTTGTTTAAGTCATTTTCCCGAATTATTACGAACATTTCAAGAGTTGATCAATATACGGGAACCAGGTGAAGTTATAATACCAAAAAGTATTTCGAACCAAAGCGAGGATTTGATCGATATTGGTAAGGACAATACTATCCATTGGCTCTTGCTAATATCAGTGTTTTTTCATTTAGATTACTCATCATGTACGCAACATGGTACTAGTTATCGTGCTGTACCAAAATCGTATATTACACCACAGTGTAGTGGAAGAACGCCATTATGTCGAGAGGTTTGCGTGTTCAACTAAAATTCTACTAGTTTCTTACCAAACTTTTCATGTTACGTAGGTGTTGAATGATACGTGTGTTCTATTTCCTACATTTACTGATGAATCGTCCTCTGTTGCTGCAAAAAAAACTGTATTCGAGGAACATATGTACAAAATAGAAGATGAACGTTTTGAAGTGAGTTAACGCTTGGGTAGGAGAAAAAAATATTTCAATTATCGATGATTATTCTTCATTTTAGCTTGATATTGTTATGGAAGTAAATTTAAGCGCTATAAGAGCACTGGAAAGCGTTCAAATGCATATGAATACAATGACACAAGACCAATTAAATACATTTCAGTTAGGTGAAGAATTAGGCGGTCAATCGGCTTTTACACAACGACAAGCCGTACAAAGAATTTACGGTGAACGTGCCAATGAAATAATTGACGGTTTAAAACGAAATCCAAGAGTAGCTGTACCCATTGTACTTCGACGGTATGTCAATACGCTTTTGAATTAAATACTTATTAGTCATTTATGTTTCTTTTAAGACTAAAATCCAAAGATGAAGAATGGCGTGAAGCAAAAAAAAATTTTGAACGATTTTGGAAAGAACAGTCAGAAAAATTTTATTTAAAATCACTTGATCATATGGGTATTAATTGTAAAAATAATGATGCTAGAATAATTCGAAATCGTCATCTATTAAATGAAATAGAAAATGTTAGAACAGAAGTATGTTGATTAATTCAACCAACCATTATCTTATTATTTATCATTTAATGATTTTTTCTTGTAGCGTGAAGAACAATTAAATGCCAATATAACTCAGCCACATTTGATTTTTCGTTATGAAGACTTATCGATATTAGATGATGCTGCATCATTAATCGTATTTCTTGTTAAACGACAAATGGGATTTGGAAAAGAAGACAAACAAAAAATCAAAGAAATTATGTATCAATTTTTACCTGATTTTTTATTTTCACCACGTGGTGATTTGTCGGATGATGAAGAAGGTAAAAATTATCGATTTCTATTTGTACTATGTAATAGATGTGTAGTAAAAGTAATGAGCAAAAAGTTTCCTTATTAATTAATGGATAGTTGAACCTCTAAAATGATTTGGTCAATGTTGGTAACACATTTAATAAATTTTTTTACCACAGATGATGAAGATGAAGAAGCAGAAAATAATAACGGTAATAAACGAAAAGACAAAAAATCTCGTGCAACACGTCATCATACAGATGCAAATCGTCGACGAAATGTCGAGTCATCTGCAAAACCAAAACCGATACCTCAACAGACAGAGGTATATAAACAATTTCTATTGTTCTCTTATTTATTTAGTAAAAAATTGAAAATTTAGGATGATATGTATCGTTTATTTTTGGTGAATGATAATTGGTATTATTTTTTTCGTTTACATCAATTACTATGTGATCGTTTACTTAAAATTTATCAACAATCATTACGTTTAATTGAACAAGAATCAAAAGAATTGAGAGATAATAATAGAAATAGAACATCAACGGCAACATTATTAAGACTTTCAAATAGACGTACGTCAAGAAGTTCTGTAATTTATTTGATTTAAGTACATGTCGGTTGCAGTTTGTCATGCTCGGAAAAATGAGACACTACTATTCTTTCTCACTAAAATTCTTCGATTAGAAGTTGATAGACAAAATAACCGTTTTTTTCTAAGAAATGAGTCTATTTACTCTAGGTCAGTCAGACAATTTTTCTTGGTAGAAATTTATTTTATTGGAAAAAGATGAATCTGATAACACACATGGTGTAATTTCATGTCCTTTTTAACTTTAGCCAATGTACCTGTAGGTGAATTTTATATCACATTTTTGGATATGGTTCGTAATTTATTAGATGGAAATATGGATGGTTCATCTTACGAAGATTCATTACGCGAAATGTTTGGTATTCACGCTTATATAGCATTTACAATGGATAAAATCATACATAATTGTGTTAGACAGGTAATGAAATAAAACTAAAGTATTATTCAAATTTTTATAAACTCGATTTTGACTACTTTTAGTTACATTCAATTGTTCAAGATGAAGTATCAGATAGTATTATGCGTCTATATTTGAGACATATTCAGTTAGGTAGTAATACTGGACTTGTTGATCATTTGTTCTCAACATCACAACAAAATTCAGAGATGATTTATCAAAAAGAACTTGAACCATTCACCGATAATAATCGATTTTTCAGAATATGTTCGGTATGTTCGAAAAAAAATCCATATTTTCTTTATAGTATTTTCTCTATTTTTTTATGAAGTATAAAAATGATCGACGTGTAACAACAACATTGGTTGTAATCGATTCGTCTGACGATGAAGAAAATGAAAAAACATTTGAAAATTGGTCGCGTTATATTGAAAACTATTTGCGTAGTAGTAATAACACCGATAAAAATTTGAATGAACGAATACGAACAAGATTAAGAAAAAAACCAAGATTTTTACTTAGGTAACTAATCTTCTGCTTGATATGATATAATATAGGTATTAAGTTAATACTAACTTATTTTTAGAAATCTCAGAAAAATATCATCTCGATCGGATTCAGTTGTGACAAATGAAGAGGATGAAGAACAACAACAAACCAACATTGTTCTAACAACAACAACACAACAACAAAACAATGATTATTGTATTGTCAAACAGAACAGTTTAAAACGTACACCTTATCATAAAGCTGGATTTACTTATTACAAACGGGGAGCACTACGAACAGCGAAACAGGTATCATAAACATTATTTCCTCTACTTTGTTTCTTCTGAAATGGAGAAAGGAACGGCGACTATAAATTTCACGATGGTTTTTTACTACAAAACGGGTATATGTAAGTTTGTAGAGGAAGATTTGCTCTATCTAATGCTGTATATATTGTTGAACATTTGTCCATATCACAAATGTGACTTTTTCAAAAGTCTCCAGCAAAATAATCATATCAGAAAACATGCTGAAGAACTGGGAGACATCTCATTTTGTAGAGAAATCTATACTCTACAAGAATGAGTGTTTCAAAAGTTTATCAAGGGCTGAATGGAGGAGAAAAAGATTTCGAAAGCAAAAAAATAATTTTTTCAGCGTAAAGTAACAAACTTTAAAAAATTTGTATCTCCTCAACGGAAGGCATTGGGGAGCTGGGAGTGATTTTATTCTATAGAGGACACTGTACTCTATAATGCACAATATTTAACTCAAAAATAAAAAAAGTTCTAAAAAAAAGAGGGGTTACCTTTAATTTTCTCCGACGGATTCGACAATATATATACACCACTAGATATAGCAAGTCTTCTTCTACAAGCTCATACATATCCCGTTCTGTAGTCAAAATCTTATAGTCGCCTTTAGTATTAGTTTCATTAATTATGACTTAGATTATAACCTAAACGAGTGTTTTCAGCTATATACATGCGAAATCTTACTAGAATAAAGTTTTACAAAAAGTCTTATTCATTTCTAGTGTCATAAACGTCTTTCAGTTGCTCATTATGAACGATTTTCTAAATTTTATAAAAAATGGATAACTGAAAATATTCATGATAATAGTAATGATGATGATGGAGACGAGGAAATGGATGATAACAGTGGCGGCGATATGTGTTTAGAAACATATCATCGTCCCCATGAACAAGTACATCTCATTTCATTGATAACAGGCGAAGATAATTATGATGTAAACCGACCGCCATATAGACCCTATCGACGTTATATGCTTGCTGGAAACCAAAATTTACAATCATCGTCGTCTTAAAATTTGTTGCTGTTTCTTTTGAATAATGTATTTTTGTTTTGTTTTTTTCATAAATACGTGTTCGATTTTTTCGTATTGTTTTTGTTCGCAATGTATGTAAATTGATTCCGAGGCACTTCGTACTGTGCCTTATTTTGTTTTTACCTATTGTTCATTTTTTTTTGTAGTATATTCATACAGAGTTTTGTTTTTTTTCCCTTGAAAATAAACAGAAGTATTTGAATGTATACTAGTTCTAGCAGAATAATGGATCGAATTTAGCCCATCGACATTAAAGAAAAGGACGAGGACTGAGAGAGTTGGTATAAGATTAAGCATTAAATTTATAATTTCTCGACTCAGTAAGAGCATGGGCCATCAAAAAGCTTAAGTTAAGATTTGACTTAAGTCACACTTAAGTTAAGTTTTTTGATGAAGCTGGCCCCATGTTCTCTGGCATACTATACCCCGAGCAACATTGCTTCAATCGGATTCGCTGTTAAATCAACCAATCTCAGTTGTCTGTAATGTAGCTCAAGCTGTTGACAGTTGCGGTGGGGCGATCTATACTACTTAGGGTTGACCAAAAGTTCGTATAGAACGGTGATTCCGCCCTTCACTCCTCACACCGTGATCAAAACGTTTGGTCAGCCCTAAGTATATTCTGATAGCGCTGGAAATTCTTTATCGTCCTTGTCTACTGTCTTGCATTTATCTATTGCAAAAATAACTTGAGTACAATGAAGACACCCTCAATTGACAAGCGTGCCTGCATGATAGTCAAATTATTCTTTAGCACATAAATGCAAGATAAGACAAAAATATACAGGATGATAGAGAATTTGAAGCTCTATCAGACTGTTTAATTCCTTTTATAAAGATTTATTTCCATAGTATCTATAATTTGCGCTATCAGAATATACTTAGAGCTGACCAAAGGTTTTGATCACAGTGTGAGGGAAGCGAGCATCATCGTTCTACGAACTTTTGCTGAACCCTAAGTAAAAGGTATACAATCGAAGGCATCAGGAAAGTATTCGAGTGTACTGTTTGATTGTACGTTTTTTAGTATGGACCAGGTGCAGCCGAAAAAAAGTAAAAGTAAATTCATTTCAAATAACTAGCTCAACAATGAATTTACTTTTCACTTTTTTCCAAATCCATCACATTTTAGATGAAGTCCAGGGCCGTGCCGATCTCTTCAACTTTAGAGGGGGGTGGGGGGCGTTAAAAAATGACATAATTGCAAAAAAAATGGTATCGTAGTACTACATTGTAGCTTATCTTAACTTTTTAATACTTACCAAAAATTAAATTTTCAAATATTTTTGAAAATTGGAGAGGGTCACACACCCATACCACCACCCTCGGTCCGGACGGTCCTGATGAAGCCATCTAATTTATGAGTTATGCTGTATTTATTAATCAAAATTAACTGTTCATCTAATGAATATAACTGATGTTATATTGTTTCGTTTACATCATGTGTTTTGGTGATACGTCCCGCGTAATTCTAATGTAAGAAGAACGGAAATGATTTATAATATATAAAGTAATGTTCTTTTATCATATTAAATCAAAAAGTTTGTATAATCAGTCACAAATTTATCACATCTAGGATAGATTTAGTTCCCTTTACCGACATACATTTTTATTATACTTTAGTTCAATTATCTGTGACTTACATACAATGCTGAGTAAACCTCTACGTACAGTTGGTGCTGTTTTTGCTATGTACCAAAAGTAAAAAATCATCCACGTCCGATTCTTCAACATTTAACGAATGAACCGCCAATAGGAGAAAATGAAGAGAAACTTGAGCAACCAAAATTTAATTCGTTAATAAAAGGTTCTGACATTGAAACTGATCCATTTATTATGAAATGACAGCGAAGGAAGGGCGAAGTAACTGATCAACGGCGTAAATTGAAGTTTGTTTATCTGACACCCATAATGAAATCCACAAGTTAAATATCCCAGATGGTGATGTATTCATTCATTGTGGAGATTAAAATCGTACGTTCAGAACGCCCTATCGAATGAAACGGATAGTGGTCCAAAATAGAACAAATACCATATAATGTCATAAAAATCCATATCATATTTACTGAAGGGTATACCAACACTTGGGCGCACGTCATTTGGGTGCAACGACATTTGGGCGCACGTCATTTGGGTGCAACGACATTTGGGCGCACGTCATTTGGGTGTAACGACATTTGGGCGCACGTCATTTGAGTGTAACGACATTTGGGCGCACGTCATTTGGGTGTAACGACATTTGGGCGCACGTCATTTGGGTGCAACGACAGAACAAAAAGTGATTACAGTTGGATATGAGTAACATAGAAAAAGCTCTCACACCGTACCAAGTTTCTTGAAAGAAAATTCTATCGTTATGCATCATACTTTAACAAATGCACTCTTACTGAGTACTTTTGTCGTACATGCGCTTAAATATCTGGCAATCTTACTGAAGTATTTATTTTATGAGTAAGTCTTTGCATCAAACGTCTGAAAGAAATTTACCTACGTTCAATGATTATGCTGCAAGTTTAAAACATCCCTACAAGGTCTTTATTAGTGGAAGCCACTGTACGTGCATTAACCCTAATCGACCCGAAGCAGTTAGAGATCTGTACGGACACGGGAATTCCCGTGGCCGCGGGCGTACAGAATTGAAAGACACACGAACGGGCATGGACGAGCAGGGGCTTCTCAAAAAGATATTTAAATTTTTTCAGCAACAGAATGGTACGAAGATTTGAATTTTGGTGTGAATGAAATATAGACAGTTAAAGACATGCTACAGAAAGGACAACATAATATACACGCGTGGACGAGAAAATTTTTTTCATATACGAAAAAAATTCACAGATGGGCACGGACAAGCATCCTCAGTAGGGTTACGGGCACGGACAAAAAAATCTTGCCCGTGCAGATCTCTAGAAGCAACTCAGCAAATTCTATCAAATATGTATTCTATTAATATTGAAGGTGTGAAAATATATGGAAGTCCTTGGCGACCGAAATGAGGTTGTATCTATCGCACAGAAGCATTTAGTTTATGATGCCAAACGTATTTAGTTAGAAAAATGGAGTCATATTCCGACAGATATCGATATTCTATTAACCGACAGATATCGATATTCTATTAACACACGGACCTTTATATGGTATACGTAATTTTAATACGCACTCCGGAGAACGAGTAGACTGTCCAGGTTTATTAGAAGAAGTTGTTTTAAGAGTGAAACCATCTGTAAGTATTTTTGGACATATGCACGACTGTTATGGAGCGAATGTATATCGAAGTAATGATAATCAGCATTTAATAGAATTTTATGAGAAAAACCATTTAAAAGACGATGATAAACAGAAGCAACAGACAGAGAATCATGAAATATTATTTGTGAATACTGCTATTCTCGGTGAGAATACACTTCATAATCCAATTGTTTTTGATTTTTACTATTAAATATAAACATTTGAGTTGATTTCTGTGCTAGGCTAACAATGCAGTAATGAGATTAATGGAGAAAATACAAGAGCAATGCTTTTCTTTTGGAATTTATTTACTGATTTTATTATTTTACAGCTAATAAATATTTAGTTAAGAAAAATAAAATAAAAATCGAACACTATTTTTATTCAGCAAAATAAAATCTATAAAAATAGTTTTACAAATGGCCTTTTTCAAAAATACTAATGAAATAAATACAGATCTGTGCAAAAGTTCTAAATCAACATGCATTAACAATATACTACTATCAAAACATTATATATCTGAGATACAAGGAAGATTAAAAAGACGTCTCACAGTGAATAATAAACGCATAACACAGATAAAATTAATAAGGAAAAGTAGAATAAGATTAAGTTCATACCTTCATCTCCGTATGAGCCCTGAGTTCACCCATTCACTTCAAAATCTATGTTTGCTTCTCACATTTTCTCTAAAATCCGTCGCTAGTATAGACATCAGTGCTGAACGCGTCAATAGTTAGAAAATGATAACGAATTTTTTCAAGAAAAATAAATGTTAGTACGGTATGTGGTCCCAGTCGTATATATAAGGCCAACCACCCTTTCTGAAGAGCGCTTAAACCTTCACCCTGGATAGTTTTTCGAAAACAATCAATCACATTATTATAAACCGTTTGTTGACCAGACGATTGATACATTCTAGTCGATATCACATCAAATGGATTCATTACAGTAACAGTAAATAACGATGAGATAAAACTGGCGACAAAATGAGCTTGTATCCCATCAGCACAATGAAACTTGTCAATTGCTACAGACTTTATTGTATCATAAATACTTAATTGAGTTGCGCTACCAAAAATGACTCGTGGTAAGGCTCCTGACACACCACGAAAAAGACCAAAAAAACCCTCTTGACGATATACTTGACTCAAACAATCAAACGTGTTTTTGTACGTGTATCTTTCTGCCGCTTGAAAATAACGTGACTGTGATTGTAGACGGTTTTTAGCCAGATATAATGGTGACGATACGGTTACTCCAATAGCACCAGATATAGCGCCAGAGACAACTTTCAAAATAAAATTATTCTGATTACAATTGGTGGCATTTTTGATGAGCGATTGAATTGGACCAAATAACCCTAATCTTAAACCATTCATTACTAACTGAACACCAATGGCAGATCCCAAACCCGCTTGCAATCCTCTAATTCCATCGATTTTGAGAATCTTTATGTAAGCGTCTGACAAACTTTTATATTGTTTTGGAATTGTCACACCATCTTTTGTTACTTCACCATCTAATTGTATGCGAGTTTTAACCGTTTCGGGCATATTTGTTAATAAAACAGCACACGAGGCAGCTAAAGACCCACTCATAATCGACGGTATCGTCCGCAATACTCGTCTTTTATCGATAATTGGGTCTGGTAAGAATGCCATCGTTTCATTTACTAATAATACACTTTCTGAATTAAATTGACTAAAACTGGAAGAAATAATGAATCATCATTACAGATAAGGATCTAGTTGATGGAACAAATCGTCAAGTTACTTGAGCAAACTTGAGAAACTTTTGCTGTTTTACCATTCAGAAAAATTGTGCTCACATCGAAATAACAGTAGATATTCAACTAACTCGCCCCAGTCACATCTCTCGTGATACTTAGTATTGCATAAAAACACTTTTTTTCTTTTTTATTGTACCTTCAAAATCACATAAACAAACGTCATGGAGCAAAAAAAGAGAAAAGATAAAATCATGATTACAACAAAGTTATCTATGTACACCGCGAAGACCCATTATAATACAGACCAAATACTCGGAAAATATCAAAATTTCTGCAAACACTTTTTCGCTATTGAAACTAAAAGACTTGCAGAAATATATGTTAATGTGACACAAAGAAAGACAACAAATACTAGGGTTAAAGGCACTTGAACAACAAAGAAAATTCATAATATTCACAGAAGTTCAATTTTTTTGAGTTAGCTGAGATTTCTAAAGAATTAGCAAGTTTCAAATAGACAACTTCCTCAATTTTGCGGTCAAAAAAGTCACTTTGCTAGTTTAACCCTTTGGCGACGGGAGACGTATACATACGTCCGATCTTCCCACTATAGACAAAATTTTCAATAAATTCTTTTTTGTTCGAAAACCGAATGTTAAGTATGCTATTAGACCAAGTTTTGTCTGCTGATCTCAAATATGTTATTAGTTTTGCTTGAAATATAGCATTATGGTTCTTGAGTCACAGGAGTGTCGCCATATATGGGCTTCCCGTCGCCAAAGGGGTTAGTAAAAGACATGATATAAAAAATTGTGAATGCCTGTCTGAAATATTTTAATAGAAGATAGAAAGACAATCTTCAGTGAGCTTTATTACAAGCTAAGAATAAAAAGAGGAGAAGGCATCAAATGTTTGAATTTTTTAGAATTTATCTTCTTAGTTTAATTAGTGTCTAACTTAGTTTTTTGGAGAGAATTTGAGAGCACTGGTCTCTCCATTCGACATAAAAACAACAAAGAGGCGATAAATAAAAATTTGGGTTGCATAAAAAATAGAAATACGAAGAACTCGGAAGAAGAGATGAATGTTCGTCAAAAAAATAATAAATAAAAAATTCACTATTATCATGACTGTCTATTCTTTTTGCGTGTTATTTTTGATTTTCAAGAAGATTCTTTTAGAGATGCTTGAATAGCATCGTTTATCATTTGTTGTTCGTTTTGTGCATAATTGACGAATGTATCTGAAAAAAAAATACAGGAACATCAAATCTTCCTTTCAACTCAATAATGGAAGAATAAATCTTTACCATAGTCGAACTGATGTCGACGTTTTATATGTTGATAAACATTGGATGACACCATCGTTTTGTCACCCCACGGCTAAACAGAAACAAATAAAGAAAATATGTTACCAAGAAAAGTTATAAAATTAAAGCGTACTAACCATACTACTACAAATAGGACCTGTAGATAAAACCCAAAAATATACCATTAGTGTCAAATATGTTACTTAGAATGAGAATTATTACTTACAGACTCGTTGTTGATCTTCTTGTTTATGATGTTTTTTAATATGATGTCGAAGATGCGTGCATGTTAAATTCGATTTTTGACAAAATGGACCTAAAAACATGTAAATATCTGGTAATGTAGGACGAATTTAAAAATAATAACTTACATGTAAACGTTGAACGATTCGCTCCAGCTTGAGCTAGTTCAAGTGCTTTTTGTTGACTTTCAGATAAAGTTTTAGTTAGAATTATTGGTCTCGATGGTGGTTTTGCAGCACTCTGTGATATACATGTTTCAGTATGTTTTCGTAACTCTTTGAGTATCAACAATTTTGAACAATACTGACATGGTGCTTTTAATGTTGAAAGTTTTTGATCTAAATCGCGATTACGATGGAATGACGAAGCAACTTCACGACAAATTGCACAATGATATTGTTGATGATTTGCTGTCGTTTTTTTCAACATAAAACAACATTTATGACAAAATGTATGTGAGCATGGTAAGGATACGGGATGATCAAAAATTTCACGACAAACACTACAGATGTAGTCTTCGATATTAACTACTGAATCAGACATCGTTAATCAAACTAATTTAAATAAATTTATCTAAAATTATTCAAAACGTTTAATGCTAATAAAAAGTGACAAAATATAAAAACAATGACAGGCGGAGTTATAACAGATACAAACAATGAATTCGGTTAGTTTAGCGTTTGACGAAGCCCGTATTTAAATAAACAAAATATTTTCTTGTGTATTTGTATAACACATACTAATATCGCATGTGAGCTTGCAAGAAAAAAATGCAGTAGTACAGTAAAAAGATTATTTCGAAATATTTTTGTTTGCGTAGTGAAACATGAACCATATTTCTTAGACCGACGAGTCATACGACAACAAGAAAATGAAATGGAAAAGGGAAAAAGAAAAAACCAATAAAAAAACTGAGATTACTCATGTGGCGTTTTCTCTTCCAGTTCTTTTTTGTGCAATTTCATTGGATATTCAGCAGCCATAAAAGACATGAGACATATGTTCCTTTTTGAGATGCATTGAGATAGCTAGCGCTGCTTCTTTCTTTCAAAAACAATAGGATGGTCTTAAATGACAGTAACCTAAAACATAGAAATTGATGCTCGTGTAATTCAATTACCATCAGTATTACTTTTCCTAACAAAATTTTATCTTCTTTTAGTATGCTGTTTTAAATGTTAGTGTCACTTATATTATGAGCGGTTTCAGCCTAAAGAGAAATAATCTTATTTTGAACTCATTTGTTGACAAAGAGTATTCAGGAGTCGAACCATTCTAAATTAAAAGTAACAATAAGTGTTAATTACTTAATCGGTCATTTGTTTGAATATGTTTATTAAGTGGAAAATATACGTTCGTCATAAAAACATGTGCCTTTTGGACGAAATGAGTAATATTTTTTATAACGAAAATTATTGTCGCGCTTCATTTGTTTGGATGAAGGAAACGACAAATCAATCATCTGAACAAAATCATTGAACCTAAAAGAACACGAAGCTTCCCAAACCTATGTCTATCCAAACATCGGATGATATAACAAAAGCAATATTTTGAACTTGAGTAATAGCTACTTAATTTCAAGCTATTACACTGTTGTTTCTGTTTCTTTACTTAAAATTTTCTAATCAACTAATTATCGATTGAAACAAGAGTGAGAAGCTCTTATTTTACATAAGATACGTGCACAAAGGTAATCATCGATATAAATATTTTAAATACGAAATAATCTTCTCTATGTCGAGAAATTAATTTTCACTTTCTTGGAAAGCAATTTATGATCCAAAATGAGACATATTTTCTAGAAGATAGGCAAAAAGACTTATTACTTTCTTGTTTCAAGAATCCAAAACGAAATAGACTTGTAACAAACCAGAAAACAAACAAAGATAACAAGAAGAAAAGCAACACATTCAGCATCATTTTTTGTCGTTTAAAAGCGCACTTCTATTTTGAATTTGTAACATCTTTGTCCGGAGCAGATGGGGACATAATTTCTTTTCTGTTTTAACAATCAAATATTCTACTAAAAGAAAACAAAAAACAAGACAGAGAGAAAGAAAAATGGAAAGAATTGATCATCATTTGTCTATAAATGTATAAATAAAACGGTTGTCTCAGACTCAAATACAATAATGTGAAAAGAGAATATAAAAAGAAAACGACAACAAACAAACCACCTACAAAAACAAACAAAAATTAATGAGAAACAACGAATAAAGTTACAATGATTTTTATAAGAAAGTTTCGCACGACAACGAATAAGAAGAATTATATTAATATAACAACAAGAATCTGCTCTCGATTAACTACTATCAAAGGATAAAAAACACGATTCACAGGACTATTTAACAGCTGACTATGAGAAGGAAAAACAGTTGTTTAAATAGATCGCATCAATTTAACATGGGAATGTATCAGCAGTGAATGATAGTGAGAAATATGTCCTACTAACTCTGTTAGCCTTTGGGAATAAAGTTCTAGCTGCAATTGATTTTTACAATTCATCATCTTGATGTCCATGCTTTTCTGTGTCATCGGATTTGTCTTCGGTTTCATCATCGGTATCTGGATCGCTTTGTTTTTTCGATTTTTCTTCTAAATAACGGAAGATATATAGAGAGAATTGGTGTCAAATTACTCAACAGCACCAGATCATATCAACAAACCTTCTTCTTTAGCTTTACGTTCGGCTTCTTCTTTCTTTCGTTCACTTTCTTCTTGTTCATCTCTCATCTTTTTTTCTGGATCCTGTTAATGAAGCAAGAAAACGTCATTTACTACAAGAGATACATTTTTTTGTCGATAACTCACTTTTGTTTTTCCCCAAGTTTCATTTCCAAATTCCTCAGCACGTGTTTCATCATCAGTAACCAAAACGTTATCGAATATTGTTCCAGATTTAACCTAGGTTAACATGATAAATATGTTAAACTTATTATTTCTACTCGTACTGTCTATGGTACTTACTTGCCACAAATCAAATCCAATAGCACCAATATCTTTAAATAAATAAAGATCTGTATCTTCAGAATAATCTGGATTATCGATTTCTGGATGTACCCATGCACCTTTATACGCTGGATTATCAATTTGTTTTGGTTTCCATTGGCCCTAGATAGAATGAGAAACGTAATAAAAGCATGATTATTTCAATGTGCAATAAAATAATTTTTCATACTTTATATTCTGGGTTGTCGATCATCGGTGGTTCCCAAGTTCCATCTACAAAGAGATGAAATAACATTTTCAAAAACAGACCGACACACACATACACACACAAACGTACCGATTTCTGTATCCCAATCTTCTGGTGTTTTAGCATCTGGATCTGGAATATGTTCCGGTTTATCATAACTAAACGAATCAAATAATGTACAATACGGATTAGACGAAGAAGAAAAACTCTTTTAATAAATGACTTACTCGCTCGGTTTAGTATCAGCTGGGTCATCAATTTTTTCATTATCGTCCCAGGTGGATGGTTTTGACGCTGATGGATCTGGAATTTTTTTTGGTGCTAAGAAATCCCAATCTTCTTCTAATTTGCCACTTTCTACTTTCTCATTATCAATTTTCACGACATAGGTGTTATCAGGTTTAAGTATCAATGTGTACAAATGTGTTAATTCGTCATCCTAAACAAAAAAAACAAATGTAAAAAGAAACTAAGGGAATAATTTATCTACAAAATAATTCAGTTTTAGAGACCTTTAGGCTGCCATGAGAAACAAATTATTTATAATCCGAAAAAAAACTGAAATAAAATATCTTAAGTGCTGAAGATAATGACTGAAATATTTGCCAACGCTTATTTTATATGAAAAATGCGGTAGAAGACGAAAACATAGTTATAAGTGACAAAAACTGTGCAAGTGAAGATAAAAACTTACTTTGCATTTAATATCTTTTTTCGTCAATAAATTTTTTCCTTTGTATGTGAAAATAACATGAACTTTTTTCGTACTATAACCACAAATGTCTGGACCAAACATGATATTATATGGAGAATCACCGTGAAGATTCTTTTGATCAACATCAGCTGGATAAACTTTTACGTATCCACCTGAATTAAATTTAGATTAATGCCTATTATTTTTTTTTGAAATATTAATTACTATCCCTTACCGCCGCAATCAATTTTTTGTTCATGTTTAACGGTAAATTGGATGACTAATGTTTTTCCTTCATTTGAAAACGGTTTATCGAATTTGGCTGATAAACCATAAAATCTTGCATCTTCGGATGTTTGAATACCTTTGTCTTTTTCTTTATCTCCATAGAATTTTCCGGCAGTTAATTTAAATTTTCCTTGTTCTTTACCTTTTGCTGTTGATTCAACCCATCTGTTCGTCCATTTATCACCATCTGATAAGAACAAAAGTTAACACTTATTCTTAGAGTAGTTTATTATAAATTCCTACCATCAAATTTTTCGACGAAATGATCAGTACATTGACCGATGACAAACAAAACAACCAGAATTAGCAGTGATCGATACATGTTTGTTTTAAGATTCAAAATAGAGAATTAAATGTGACACAGAAGATAAAAGGAAACGTGCACTGAAACTTAAACAATCACAATCTATTTTGTCTTATATTCAAACACAGAGGAAGAGGATCAACCGTACAGACGAATGCCATCTGTTATGCGACAGATCAACTTGTTATATAGTGATAGGTGGTAATACTCAACCAATGTTTTAACGACACCGGACAAGCTCAACCTTCAACTAATAACATCAAAATTCAAACGGGACACACGGAAGTTTTGCACACTTTTCGTTTATGCTGAATAAAGAATTTATTTCACTATTTTTGATCCGACGGTAGTACACTAGCGCAGTCTATCAATTATTGTCGCTATTAATTCTGTTACGACACAGATCTTCTTATGCTTTCAAATTTAAATTATTTTAAAAGTTTGCTTTTCGAATATTCATCAAATGTTGATCAAAAGCGTCTTTATCATAATTCTCCGTATTTGATCTAGATATATGTGGTCTTTGACCACATTTTTCATACAAATAAGCGTTGACAAATATTTCAGTCATTACTTTCAATGCTTGTGAGAACATTTGATTTAAAATAATTAAAGCGATAGCCGCTCTTTAGACCAAAATAGAAACGAAAATCATTATCATGAAATGAATTTGAAAGCAAACCTTTTCTAGTGTTCGATGTTGACTGAAATAACATGCAAGCACCGGAAAACCCACCCTAGTCGAGACTCCCG